ACTAATTCAGTGTTTTTTTCGAAGCATTTCTAGACTGTTGCCATTGGAAGTGCCAAAATTGTATATTGCACAAATTGCAAGCTGTTTGTTAGTTAGTCAAGTGATGCTAGCTTTCCACACCTGATTCAAGTTGGCTGTCTTTTTCTGGTACTTTTTATGAACTGGATTATACGCACTAATTTTCTCATAGATTATTGTGCTGATTATGGTGTTGTTGCTGATTAACTGTTAAGTCATGTTCGACTCTTCGTGACCCCATGGACCAGAGCACGCCAGCCCTCCTGTCTTTCACTGCCTCCTGGAGTTTGGTCAAATTCATGTTGGTAGCTTCAACGACACTGTCCAACCATCTTGTCCTCTGTCATCCCCTTCTCCTCTTGCCTTCACGTTTTCCCAACATCAGAGTCTTTTCCAGGGAGTCTTCTCTTCTCATGAGATGGCCAAAATACTGAAGCCTCAACTTCAGGATCTGTCCTTCCAGTGAGCACTCAGGGTTGATTTCCTTCAAAATGGATAGGTTTGTTCTCCTTGCAGTCCAGGGGACTCTCAAGAGTCTCCTCCAGCACCACAATTCAAAATCATCAATTCTTTGGCAGTCAGCTTCTTTATAGTCCAGCTCTCCTTTCCATACATCACTATTGGAAAACCTATAAGCTTTGACCATGTGACCTTTGTCAGGAAGGTGATGTCTCTGCTTTTTAAAATGCTGTCAAGGTTTGTCATCGCTTTCCTCCCAAGAAGCAGGCATCTTTTAATTTCATGGCAGCTGTCACCATCTTCAGTTATCATGGAGCCCAGGAAAGTAAAATATGTCACTACCTCCACATCTTCCCCTTCTATTTGCCAGGAGGTGATGGGACCAGTGGCCATGATCTTAGTTTTTTTGATGTTGAGCTTCAGACCATTTTTGCACTCTCCTCTTTCACCCTCATTAAGAGGTTCTTTAATTCCTCCTCACTTTCTGCCATCAGAGTGGTATCATCTGCACATCTGATATTTCTTCTGGCAATCTTAATTCCGGCTTGGCATTCCTCCAGTCCAGTCCAGCTTAGACTGGTTGATTATGGTAGTGGGGGAAATTTGCTACATGATGCATGAAGCATGTGAAACAGGGATGCAACATGGGCCCAGCTATTTCAATGTACTGAATTTGAAGTTTCCTTTTTGTAGGTATTCTATGCTTACAAAAGGTGTGGCTTTTTGGCACAAATGTAATAAAATTAAGTAAATATACATTGTGTATATTATTTGCTTTGCAGACCTCATTCTTCTCTTCTTAGTCACTGGAAGAACTAAGGTGTTGCATGGAGTCCTTAAGCACACCTCTCCTCCTCCCACTGACTATTTGACTACTAATCCCACTGAATCTGGATAGTTTATCCAGTGTTATTTACACACTTTGAGCAAAACCTGGATTTAGTCCTTGTGCAGAAATCATGGAGCACTGTCAAATGTGTACATGGTTAAGAAATTATTAGAGCCACGAAGAGGTGAAGTAGTGATGCAAAATAGCTATCAATAACGGCCAGCATATTTAAATATTTTGTTTGGTGAAGTGCTAAGAGGACTAAATTGTGCCCTGCAATAACCATTTAGTTTGAGGAAATAGTACGATCTAGTAATAGAGTCCAGCAAAGAATGCAATCGAAGAAACTGTCACTAATTCTCAGATTACTTCTGGTGCTATAATGGCCAAATTACTTGGGAAATCCGTTCAGTTAATGTTTCTGAATTCATTCATGTCAGCAGGTTGTTTTTTTTGTATATTCCATTTATAAGGCTTTGAAAAAATCTGTTCATTTGTCACCTAGTCACGACTTTGAGCAATAATTGTTTTATGTAGACAACAACATTGACTTAGACTATATGAGAGCAATAATACAGTCTGGGGTAAACACACTTCATTTGCCACTCTGTATTTACAAGGATCTCTGTGCAAGGAAACATCTCTGCATACAAGCTTCATCAGCAGGATGTATGGTGGTCCGCTACCTTACAGAGGAAGGAAGTTTGGAGATTGCAGGCCAGCTGCATTTAAGGCAGTTATTCCCAAATGTACATCTTCAATTTCCATTAACCTGAGTCAGCACAGTACAGCTAGCTACATTTCAACAACTTGGCTACCCAGCATACCCCTTCCACTCTATTACTGGGGCACCCAGTATTGAGGATCCGTTGGTTTTCAACCAGTCTTCCCCAGTAGAAGCATTCTGTGTGTAAAGATGCAAGAAAAGAGCCATAGGTTCTGTGACTCCTTTAAGCTGCTCATTGGATGCCAATGGAATTTCTATGGCTGGTAAGGAAGGAGCCATTCTGTCCTTTCTCTCAAAGGATGCACATTTGAACTTCATGCTGTTTTATAAGGATTGCTAATTATATTAAAAGAGAAACTGTGTTTCTAAAATTAAGTAAGGATGAATGAATGCAGTGGGGTGCTTCTGGCAAGCGGAGCATATTTTCTTTACTACTTTTCCAAAAATGTATCAAATCAAAACCTGAATATTGTACTTGATTGCAATGCCTGGATTAGTGCGGCCCTTCACATCATGCCCTAAGTTCTCTTGCACGAAATCCTGCCTGTACAAGAACTGGGACATTACTGGCAAGGGGAGATTTTCAGTAGTTTAAGAGCCCCCCCTCCGCCAAAATCCTAGGACATCCATGGCTTGTATATTATGAGACTGATTACACACAAATCAGACAAGCTGTGGGACAGAAGAATTTTTAAATCCTCGAAAATATCTCCCTATCGGTCACATCATCACTCTTGCACAGATATAACTTACATCCCAGGATTTTGACCCCAAAATGTCAGGGGCCTGATGAGCATCCCAACAATGCTATTCTGTGAAACCAACTCTGCAGAGAGATCAGGGGCCAATGAAAAGCAGTGCCTCCAATACTCATCTCGTGGCCGGTCCAAGAAGACACCCGTCAATGGTATCAAAAGCCAGGAGACATTTAGTAAAAGCAACAGTGTGTCACTCTTTCTCTTCTTCTGTCAGTAAAGGTCACCCACCAGGACAAACACGGCCCATTCAGCCACAGAACTAGGTCTCAGCTTGACTGAAATGGACAAGACAATGCAGTATCCTTGAATATCTGAAATTGCCCACAAGACATTTCTTGAAACCTTATCCTTTAAATAAGCTTATGTGCGAGCTAGTTATGGTTATAAAATGTTATAGGGTTCAGGGTGGGACTTATCCTTTAAATAAGCTTATGTGTGAGCTAGTTATACGTAGTTATAAAATGTTATAGGGTTCAGGGTGGGCTTCTAAAGGGCGAGTCACTGGTGCTGGTTCAATTGCCTGCTGCCTGAAGAAAGTGAAACACTCAAGGGAGGACAGTGGCAACACCGTTCTTCTAACTGCTGCCTGCCTCCATACTGTGGCTACATTTCAGTTGGTGAGCTGAATAACGCTTGGCCTCAACCATCATCAGGGCCAAGGTGGTAGAGCGAGGTGTGTACGAAAAAACAATTTCCTAGCATGTCAGGGAGACAGTCAGCAGAAGTTACCAAGTCAGGCACAGCAAGAGTGTGATGGATCTGCCACTGCTCCCAAGCGCTATAATATCTGAGGCAACCACCTCACTTATGGCAATGGCCAAACCAGCCTTAATAATATCTTACACCGTAAGAGTCACCTCCCACAGCAACATATTTGCCACACCCAGGACTTATCCAGTCAGATTGTTTTGGCTAAAGTCAACCAGGCAAGGAGCAACCAAATGTGTGGTGGCATGTGGAAGTGAAAACACTGTGACCACACCTTTAGGCTGCAGAAACAGAACCTGATTCCATCATATAGGACTAGACACGGTACAGGCTATCCCAACAGGAACTTCTGTTAAGTGTGGTGCCAAGCTTTGTCTCATAACGACTTATCTCGTTGTTATCTCAGGACCACATTGTAAAGAACTTTAGAGATTGGCATGAACTGCTGGTTCAGTGGTTCGTGCCAGCTTGTTCATCGGCCAAACAGGTGTTTGGCACTTCAAAGCCCTGCCTCATCCAGGGGGCACCCACTTAGAGGCAGCACCTGAGGGAGGTGGAGCGGGAAGCCAGGCCACTGCCTCTGAGTAGGCACCCACCAGAGGAGGCGGGGCTTGGAAGCACCAAACAGGCTTGGCTGATAAAATGAACCATGCTCATCTCCAAGTATGAGAACAGATATAAATATAACTTAACCAACAACATTTTGATGTGGTTAACGGAAAAATGCAAAAATTAATTTTGCAACCATTCTGCTGATGGTGTGAAATTATACTATTTCAGTTTGTTCCCAGCCTCAACCTGCTTTCTTGCCCCGAATTACAAGAAGCTACCAGTGAGCTTATTAAGGAAGGATTCTGTCATGTTGCCATTCGCCACTCACAGACAAATATCTGCATTACCTATAAAATGAAATGAAATGCTGGGACTGATTTGCAAAGCACTTCTCAACTGCAAGACTTATTAACTTCAGAAGCGCTTCTGTTGGAGCAGCATTTTTGAAGACCTGGTTGTCTGTAATTTTTTAAGGCTGCATTCCTAAAATTATGTTCAAGCTTGCACAGTGGCAAGACTATAGCCTCAGGCTCCCTTGAGGTTTTTTCCTTTCTTTCCTACAGCAAGTTCTTTGAGGATAAGTCTACGATAGTTGTACTCCCACTGGTGCTAGTCCTGATTTAAAGGGGAGTAGAGAGGGAAGGTAGGATAACTGGGTAGCAGGAGTTTTTGCATCCCCTCTTTCGCCTTTCTTTCAGCAATTGGATCAACATAGTGAGAATGACTATTGCCTTGGAGCAAGCAGGAAGAGCAAATAAGCATGAATCAACCAGCTTTCATGCCTGCTTCTGATGACGGTACAAAAACAGCATAAGCAGTCCTCTATCTGTAAATAAAAAAAAAAAAACACCCTGCAGCCTATTTTAAAACTAGGTTCACTTTAGCCTTTAAAATGAAGGCTACAACTACAATTTCAAAATATGCCCACATACTGAAATGAAGAGTCACATACTGAACAGGAATGTTTATTTATATAGCAAAAATTGTCCGCACAATCTAAATCTTGAACAATAAATAGGCACTTCAATAAAAGTATATATTTACAATGGCAGTCTGAATGCTAGACATCCTTCGAAAATGTGGGTCTCCTACATGGGTGGGAGACAGCAACTACTTAGAAGCCACTGCCAACATGGATTATAACAAATCCAGCGAGTATTTTGTTTTTCAATTATTCAGAGAAAATTTAATCCTGATTAAGTATCCTTGGGCAGGAATTCATGAGTAGTTGATGATTGAAACTAACATTTATTTGAAATGCTTCTGTTAATTTAATCTGTGAATATGGCTTAATTAGATTGAATCCTCAATGTAGGAGTAATGAATTATATCAGGATTAAATTCTAGTGCTGCATCATACATTCCATTTTCCCTTCCTCTGTTTAGGAAACACAAGTCTCTCTCTCTCTGTTTTTTTTTTTTATTCTTAATGTTACAATTTAGGAAGAATAGCAACAACAGCTCTGTAGTTGTTAGCCCATTTCTCTTATTCTCTTGGAACATTTTGCCACACGGTATAGGCTATATCCATTGGTGCTGCCTACTAGAACAGACCCATTGAGATGACTTAATCATGGGTAACACAAGCCCTAATGATTTCAATGCACCTCTTCTAGCTGGAACTAGCACTGGATCTAGCCACGGAATGTAAAAAAGCAACTGGCGATAAAGCTAAAATTCGAACCATATCCAAAACTCAAGGCAAGAAAGTGCTTTTTTATATATTAAAAAATTATATAGAATGAGAACTACAGTTCACTGTAAACATTATACACTGGTTTTCTGGATCTAATATAATTTCCAAGCCCCGTTTAACTTTTGTACACATATTTCAATGAGACTTTTAGCCAACCTATTGTTTTAATAGCAAGACTATCCTGCACAATCAGTGTAACCTCTGAGGCAGTTCTGGAGTGAATATATTGAGTCTAACAACTTGCTTTGTCTTCATTCAAAACAGTAAGAATCACCGTGTATATGCCTGTCACTATCTTCGTTCTTGTTGTTGATGAAAATTCACTTAATTCCTATGCTTGGTATGACCCAGACATATTGGAATATTGCATTGTAATTCTTTAGCTCTTCCAGAAAAAATAATCAACTAATGGACAAATGCTGAAAATAGCTGCAGCTTCGAAGTCTCTATTGCACATTTGTCAATGAATCTCCTAAACACATCTCAGAAATGATGCCGACTTTTATGTCCAGATGCTACAGTTAGAGGCAACGTCACTGCAGAGAGAGAAGATACTTCCCAGTAAAGACTATGAGAAAGAAAGAGTCGGTATAGAAGAACCATGGACAGCAACTGGCAGAGTATGACACCTATGGTAATAATCTGGGGAGGGGGATAAGGGGGTGAGGATGGAAAAGGAGAAAAAAGCACTTTAAAAGAACAGCATTTTTAATGGCACAATCCAATTTACTATAAACAATCAGGAGTGCAAATTTAGAAAGTTAACTGATTAACAAGTCTCTTAAAACAACAGCTTTACAGCTTTGTGCAGTCTAAAATGTAGGTCTGATGTAACAATTCACAGTGTCCTTCACATAAAAAAAAACAGGTTGGATCCAGACTATATTTTTCATAACTCCGCTACAATCAATGGGATAAGTGAATTGATCACTAATTACAGTGAGACAAGGTTTGACTATATTAGCGTGCAACCTTTAAAATATGTCCTTTATTTTTGAACATTTGATTTTCTGCTCTTTTTTTGGCGATTACCATCATAGACCCTTCACACTGTATTTTTCTCTCCCCCAAGGTACTTTTTTTCTTACATTATGTACAACTTGCAGAGGGCTAATAACAAGCCACATTAGTGTGCTTCAGCCACTAGAACAAGTTTATGATGCCAAAAAAGACCAACAGATTTATTATGGCACCCAGTTTTCATGAATAGGATCATGGAAGTTCCCAATAACCACAGAGAAAATGGCTCAGCAACCACAGACAAAACCCCCTTTCAACTCTGATCTTGAGGGTTATAGCAGAGGTGGAAGGTTCCTTTCAGAAAGTGGTATCCAGTGTTCCCCTCCATGGGCAGGGGTGTGTGCGTGATGTGCACAGTTGATCACAACTTCCCCAAAGTATCCCATCTGAGAGAGAAAATGGATTCTCAATGAGATAGGCTCCATGCCAAATCATTAGCTCTTCTCTTACCTCAATAAATACAGGGAAGTCATAAAATCTGTATCTCCTTCTAGCTACAAAATGAAGATGCCTGGTGTGCAAATAATTCAATAGTGGTTGCAGTTTTATGGTGGAACCTCTACTTACAAACGTTCCTACTTATGAAGAGCTCTGTTCGCCAAATTTTGCTTCTACTTGCAGTTGGAACTTCAAGATACGAACAAAAAAAGGCAGAGGAAAAGAGCGGGAAATTTAAATTTGCTAACTGTTGGTGGCGAAGAGGTTTTCGCCCCAACAGTTAGGAAAAGGGAAGCTCAGCCTCCCGGGGGTCCCCTGCTGCCACAATTGCCACCTTCAGAGACCTCCCAGGGTCCCCCGCCACTTAATCTCTGCCTTTGGAGGCCTCCCGGGGGGTCCCACGCTGCCTTGATTGCTGCCATCGGAGACCTCCTGGGGGTCCCCTGCCACCACAATTGCCGCCCTTGGAGGCCTCCCAAGGCTTCCCCACCCTGACACAGGCTTTCCTGGGGTAGACCGGGCCTGGTCTACCAGGGCTCCCCCTGGCAGGCTTTGGACTGGTAAGATGCTCCTTTTTTAAAAAAAGTTGTCCTTGGTGGGTTTTGGAGGATAGGTTTGGGCTGGGGGGGGGTTATGTTTCTGTGTTGTTTTGTTTTCGGGTGTTTTTTTTTCAGTCCCAGCGTGGGACTTGCTCCAATGTTTATTTCTGGATTTATTTATTTATTTATTTTTGCAGTCCCAGCGTGGGGCTTGCTGTGTTTCTTTTCTTTTCTTTCTTTCTTTTTTGGTATTTTTTTCTTCGGCCAGTACGGGTTAATCGGTTTTCAATGCATTCGTATTGGAAATGGTGCTTCTACTTACGAACATTTCAACTAACGAACATCTTCTGGGACGGATTAAGTTCGTAAGTAGAGGTTCCACTGTATTATTATTATTATTATTATATTATTATTATTATTTTATACCCCGCTGATTTAGTGAGCATGCCACTACTCTGGGCAACTTCCACATATTATAAATCATACAGCTAAAATATTAAAACCATATAAAACATATTAAAAGAAAACAAACAAAACCCTACCCACCCATAAAATCAACAGTCAGGGACATTGGATGGCAGACAACGGGCCAGCATAATTTTACAAAAGGGTGGTGCCTGGGAAGACCTGGATAAAAAGCCAACTTTTAATTTGCTTGCAAAAGCTCAGGAGGGTGGGGGCCAGTTGCACCTCCACAGGAAGAGAGTTCCAGAGCTGAGTGGTCACTACCGAAAAGGCCCGGTTTCTGGTTGAAGCCTTCCGGGCCTCTTTTGGAATGGCCACCTGCAACATTAAACACTGGGAGGTGTGGGTGTGACGGGAAGATGACCTGAGGGAGGGACACTGTGACAGGTAGCAAGGTCTTAAAACGTAAAGGGTTTTATAAGTTAGAGTCAATACCTTGAATTTGGCCTGGAAGCATACTGGCTGCCAGTGCAAGAGAGCCAGGACAGGTGAAATATGGGTCAAATTTAGATGTAATGATTTGCTACATCTTGCTACTTTGGAAGATTTTAAAAAATCAGCTTTCTATATTTGCATTTTTAATATTTTTGATTTTTCTTTAGTATGCCTCATTTCTTCCCCTTTCTATGACTGCAGATAAAGACTGAGTGATATCTACACCAACATTTTGAAGAGTATTAAGAAATGAGTATTTTATACTTTATTTTATAGATAGTAACCTTTATTAGTGATCTTTGTAAGCTGTTCTAGGAGACATCTGTACCTGAGAAGTGCATATGTGTGCAATAAATATTGTACATGTTTAGAAATCATTTTGTAAACAATACAAAATACTAAAAAGTATGTTGCTTATATTGTATATACAAACCTTTTCTCGCTGATAATCTCTAAACATTAGAGATATGGCTACAAGACCTGGTTGACACAAAAACCACACAACAGAGCCCTGAAAGAGAAAAACCACACCAGGTGTTAACTATTCCTGTTTAAAAACCAAATTAGTAGATTGTTCACGTTTCCTGTTGATATCACATGCCAAACTGCAATGTTCTGTAATATACCAATCACTTTTTTGTTCTGGGCAATAGACAAGTATGAAGGATTTGATGTAAAAAAATAAAATAAAAAAAACCCCCACTCTATTCAGCAAACATGAAAAAAATATATAAATAAAAGTGTTAAAGCACTTTAACAAATTTATTTTGTTGCCATCTTTCATGGTTAATCCACAAAATAAATTTGTCAGTCTTTGAAGTGTCACAATACTCCTGTTTGGATTTGTGGCTTTTATGATGATGATGATGATGATGATGATGATGATGATGA